TTTATATGTTTTCAACTCAATAACAAACTTTTACATATTTTCATGACTCTAAAGTGATAGGGCTCATTTGGATACATGACTTTTAACTTTTGGAATGTACTTTTGCACTTTTTAGATGTAGGATGTTGTTTGAAAATTTCATGATTGGACAAACTAACTTTTTGAATGTATATTGAGAAAACTATTGAAAGTGGATTTGAGAACTTAACTTTTTAAAACTTTTCAAATTGATTTTTTGATGTTGAGCTTTTAAATTTACTATACTGCCCTTATTCCCTTACAATATTTATTGCGTACTCTCTTTTATTAGAATTAGAATTTAGTGTAATAGCCACCAGGCCAAATATATTATATAGGAAGCCAATTTTGTAAACTTTTGTATATGAAAAAAAAATTTAATCCTATTTAGAGGGTATGCCATTTAATATTAATGACTGTTGAATTATTTATTATATTTTTTTCAATATTAAACTTTACATTTTTTATTCTTATTATTAAACATATTAAATTTTATGTTATTTTAAATTTTTTTCACATTTTTATATATTATATTTGTATGATAAAAATTATAAATTATCATAAATTAATATCTTTTTTTATTATTATATATTCAAAAGTGTATTTCAAAAGCACAAATCATCATTAATTCAAACAACTTTTAGTTTACTAAACTGACTTTTAAAAAAATGTATCCAAATATAAATTTTGTTATAATAACTAATTTTTATTAAATTGTTTTTGTCAAATGAATTTTTATCAAATAAAATTTTAACAAATTAAAAACTAAATACACACACAATTTATTCACTTGGCATTCTGCCACTCTCAAAAGTCAAAATAGGTCTAAGTATGCAGCGTTGGATGATGTTCCCTCATGGATGTGAATGTGAAAATGGGTTTTGCCGTCCGCTGAAGCAAAAGTAGTGGAAGGAACTTTTATCAATAATGCAGCCTTTACCGGTAGCAGCAACCAGTTCTTGCACCCACACCACGTTGCCGAAGCTGAACACAAATACTCGTAAATTCTAATAAGCTTCATTTCCTTTTCCATTCTTTCTGAACCGCGCCTTCCTCTGAAGCCTTGACATAAAAAAAGTTACGGACTGATTCACCAAAAAGGGAGGGGGAGGGGGAAGTTACAGACTTTTAAATGTTTCGCTCACATCATCACAAGAAAACAACAAAACCCAGAAATCTGGTGTGGGGTGATATGTACAATCTATTCACATGCAATGATCAAGATGAGCCAGATTTTTCGGTTCCAAAAAAGGGCCTACACTTGAGATAGAGTTCTGTGATTTATAACAGAGAATCTCAAATAGAACCAAAGACTTAAGAGATGGGATTATGGACTTTAATCCTGACGCATCAAGACATTTAGGTCATGTTTGGTGTACAGCATTGAGGGCTTGGGTTTGGGATTTGTGTTGAAAAAAGCCCAATTTAATGTGTTTGGTACAAAGCATTGAGTCTTACCTGGGTTTGCTTAAACACACTTAAGTGGGATTACTCAAACTCATCTCTCCCCTGGTATTGAGAAATTAGACTTGAGTTTGCAAAATTTTACGAAAAAACTATCCCTGGCTATAATAATTTTCGGACAAAAATGCCCCAGTGAAATTTGCCTTGATAAAACCGCCTCATACTCATTCGTATCGCTGCCGAGCAGAGCACGATCTCCATGGCGGCAAGGGACCTTCTTCGTCGATCTCCCCTGTCGCTTCGTTTGTCTCCTTCGTCACGCCGTTAGGTACTATCACTCCATCCTTCTCCTTTGTCTATATTCTTTGCTTCTGGGTTTCGCTTCTGTTGATCTGGAATCTCCAGCTCTGGGTTCCTCTTTTTTGGGGTAATATACTTGAGATATAGGCTTTATCTTCTTCTCTTTGTTTGTACTTGCCGAAGAAATTGTTTTCTTGCTCTTATAATGGTTGCAATTGCATCCGTTGCCATCAATTTTATTCCTTTGTATTTTATTTCCATCCCTTCACTTCAATGACTTCTTATTTTTCAATGTTAATATGGTGAGAAGCATCCACTTCATTGCATCACTTTTTCAATGGCGAGGGACCAGTCTTCAATTTTATGAAGCAATGCACTCGCCATGGTCCAAATCGGTTGACTTTTTCAATGGTGAGGGCTGTTCTGTGCTTCAATTGGTCGACTAATCAGAATGAGGGATAAGTTACATTTTTCTTAATAAATTCGGGGGGGTATTATGGTATTTTTATAATTTATGATTAATTGAAAATAAGAATAAAAATAAGCATTTCCTGCTATTATTACTCTATACCAAACATGATTATAAAGCCTCAATCCCAATCTCAATTCCAATCATAGTCCCAATCCCTTCAAATTGAGTCCCATGTATCAAACATGGCCTTAGAAGTTGCCGTCTCGCTAATTGGAGCCTGAACCTGAAAAAAGTGAGGAACGGATAGATACGAAATGGTTCAAAGTAGCCGAATCCTTTTTGTCTGCGATAAGCAAATAGTTTATTAACAGAGTTTCAGAGTTAAAGTCATAGAAAAGAAGAATTGGGGACAGTGATAGCCAGTGCTCATAATCATAGATGGGTGGGTCTTCACGGGAAAGGGGGGAAAAAAGGGAATCAATAATTGTTCAGAGACAGAGAAGAAGAAGAAATCATCGAGTGATCAATAAGGTATGGAGATACAGCACATATATTTTGAAGTCAACGTTTGTGAAGGTTAAGATTTTGGAGGGTGGAACAGAAAATGTGGTCAACGCCATGAGAAGATTATAAGCTCACAACATGGGAAACTCCAATGGAAGAGAAAAAATCGAATGGTCAAAGGTAGTTAGTGTCCAATTTTTGAATAAAATTTGTCGGTCAAGTGATGGCCACACACAAGCCCCCCCAACTTGGGTTGCCTCCTTACATAATACTCACTTGTTCTTATTTATAAAACATTTTTAATATATTTTATTAAAATTAAAAAAAAAAAACTCATCAATTTTGTCTATAAATTTAATAAAACTTTACCTTTATTAAATATAGATAATTTAATTATATATTTTTTCCTTTAATAGTTGAGAGGATTGATGTTCTGTATTTAGGATCAAACAAACTCCCGGTATATAAAAATTATCAAAAGTCAAGTAAACTTGAAATCAAAGCCAGGTGCTGCTAAGCTTCGGCTAATCAGATTTGTCGAGCACGGATCCTAGCTTGGAGAATTATAAATAAAGGCAAATTGGCAGCCCATTTATTATTAATAAAACTATGGGCTTCACCTTTAAGATTTTTAATTTGGGGGCGATTGAGTTTGTTGACATTGGGCCTATTCTTGAATGATCCACCTCCATCATGTCAAATATTCCTATTCTTGAATGATCCACTCCTTTGGTCAAAAAAAAAATGATCCACTCCCATCATGTCAAATATTAAATATTAAGTGTTACTTTTCAATATTATTTATTTAAAAAATGCTATATTTGTTCTACAGCTTTGAACCATGGCTTTGAGAACGTGTAAATATTTTTTTTAAAATAATAAATATATAAGTAAGGATATATTTGATAATTAGTAATTACCTCCCCTCCCTCTACCTATTAAACCAAACAAAATTTGTTGAAGCACCTCAAAACAACCAAACTTAAGGTCAAGAATACCACAGGTTTTAGCAGAGAACCAACGATAAAAAGGTTTTTTGATTACTAATTTTTATCCCTTAAATTATCTCTTACGCAATCATACAAACATCTATCCCTGAAGTTTGTAATATTCTCCAGGACTATTGATCTTTTTAATACCGTATTTAATCATGCAACTATAGTCTTAAGTATGAGAAATAACAATTCATACAAAGAAAGCATAGTAATAATTGTACATGTTAATTTTTTTTAATTATAAAAAGTATGCTACTCAATAAAGTACAAAATTCCAATAAATTGCATACGATTCATTTTAATGACAGGTCGATTCCTTTAGATTAACGTCCCATTTAGATTTGTGTCTCTTTGAAACGGAGGAAGGAAACAAGTAATGACTTTGCCGCAAGTTAAGAACAAAGGATAGAAGTAATCACACTGTACACAACAGGGTGGTACATGCAGTGGGTGGTTCAACCCACTTAGCTGAGACAACTCAACCATGTGATGCCCTATCCAAGGATAGAAATAAGGTTGAATTTCAATGGAAAACCATAGATGGGCATCAATTATTAGTGAATCCAGGAAGATCTGAAACTTCAGAGATTGAAATAAAAATAATTTCAATGACAAAAAAACCAAATTACTTTAATTTAAAATTAATGTTAGCAAATTAATAAATAAAATTAATAATTTAACAATTAATATTGCTGTTGGTGATTAAACAATTGATGTTAAATCTTATATAAATATTGACATATCAATTCAGTGCAAATCACATTATTAAATTAACAAATGAAATAAAAAAAATTAACAATTAATAATTCTATAAAATAAATTAAGAATATTTTAATATTTTTACCATTAAAATTATTTATATTTCAATTCTTTTAGATTGAACTGAAGTTATAAATTTTTTTAAAATTAGTAATAATCAAGTCCCATCCACAGTCATTAATTGAAATTCTCCCCAAAAATATTCACACTTCCCAGTTACACACGCACCATACCATTTCCTATAATTTTCCCTACAGTGCTGTGATATGATTCCAATCACATCAAGTGTTCAGATATTCCTTCAATCGCCATACTCGAGCAATTACAGTCTAAATCTATGTGAGCCCAAGTTTAGAACTACGGTAGAGATTAAGAACTTCAATGCCCCCAAAATTAACATGGGATTGTCAAGGCTGCAATGAACAAATCTAATCATGCATAAACACGCGACCTCCCCTCCACATGATTACATCTGCCGCCACCCCTTCTTGTGGCTCAAATTTAGGAGAGGGCACAGAAAAGACGGTAAAATGGTTATTCGCGTAGAAATGCAACAAACTTCACGAACAATGCAAAGCAAAACTTCTGATATCCATAGCACCATCGAGGACCACGAAACTGGATTTCAAGATGTTATATATATCAACACTTGTCCATACATCTTAGTATGCAGAAACAATTAAACTTACGATCATGAAGTCATAGATTTTAGCGTAGGAAACCAACAATCAAAAAAAAGTTTTTTGGACAGAACAATAACTAGTTACCAACATCTAGCATAGTATAAATATAAATAGTTCCTTAAATAAGCTAGCACTAAACAAGAGCTGGATAGTGCTTTGCCTGCTGCCGGACTCTTCTTTTATACTCCGCCGCATCCTGCATAAGGTGTGACGTAAAGATATGCCATTAATAATAAGGAAAACAACCCAATTAACTTTTAACATTAATAACCACTTCTCACCACCAATTCCAGTGGCTCTAAGTACAATCAACCATAATTAAACAGTCACAACACGGATAACCCCATAACAGAACCCTTTGACAAATACAAAGCAGATTCGGCTGACTAGCCTCAATTTACTCGATCAAATATTCAGATTCTACAAGTTGTTCTCCATCATTTATGATATTAATATAATGTATCATAACAAGACTTCCAAATGGACAACTGAAGAATGCAGGATTATTTTAGGTTAAATACCTGGATGAAGAGATGATACCCTTCTGTCTGGGCAGGATCAGCAGGATTAGGCTGGTCAAGCAAGTCTTGTATACCAACAAGAATCTGCTTCACAGTTATAGCTGGTCTCCATCCCTACATGCAGAATATGTTCGAATAGCCCATTCACATGAAAACTGGGAAATTACACAAGTAAACCATGTAACCAGGTTTCAAATAGTCCCATACTTATCAAGAGAGATGAACTTACACTGTCCTCATTAAGTATAGACAAGCAGACAGTTCCAGATGGGTAGACATTAGGGTGGAAGAAACCTTGTGGAAATTTACACTTTGGAGGCTTACTAGGGTAGTCTTCACTGAAGTGCAGTGTAAGTGGGAAAAAGCCACCCTCCCAGTCAGTCTGCACTACTTAGCACGCAAGTCAGAAAACAAGTGCTTCATTTACAAAAGGCCTAAAGTAAAAAATATTTAGCTTATTCTCTTGAAATGTTAATTAACCCAAAAGACAGAAAGTTTTGAAACTTCAATGGAACTCATTTCTCTTCCTTTTATCTATTCCAAGTGTCATTTGAACTAGATTGATCAATTAAAGGATCCTGACAATGTGCTACCTCAAATTTGGATCCACTCCATGCAAGTAAGTAAATGCACGGCGTATCTAGAGAGAAATAGAAAGAAAACAGACAATTTGTGGTAAAAAAGTAGACAGAATGCACACTTCCACTTTTTTGGTGACACTCTTGAATTCATTGTGCATTACAGCAAAAGCATCAAGACTAGAGGTTCCATCCCCCTTTTTCTGTGGGCTGAAATGATTATCTATGCTTCATCAAGCTCAAGATAAGAACCAATATCTGCCTAAATTATCATGCAGTGCACTCAAAATACATTTGTGATTAATATTAAGAAAAGCAGGGACTAGGGACTTGAGATAATGCCAAGGATTGGCTGATAACTTGTGTATAAACCATTACTGCGCACAAATTCATACCTAAACTTATCCATACAATTAGTATCTCTTTATAAGGCAGTCCAATGCGAAAGACATCCTTAGAGTGCAAGAGTCATAAAACAACTCAAGCTAGGGGCACTGAAGTAAGCCATTAAAGTAAGAAAAATATGCTATACAAATACAAAAAGCAGAAGACATAGTCACAATTTGTTAAACAATCCCCCTCGACACAATTATCTGGTTAGCGCTTCTTTCCCATAATTTTAGGCAAAAACAGGACTTTTGATTCTGCTTTTAGGCAAACACCGCACGGTACCAGCACCATGCTGTTACTATACCTACCAAATACAGAATTATGACCATACGGACACACAATTCATTTCCCACAAAGTACACTTACGTCTTCCCCATTTGTGGGAGGGTTAGTAGTAGAAGGCAAAAATAACGTTAAGAAGAAATAACAAATTGACAAGGCAAGTGATCGAGCACGAAGAATGTACACCTCGAGGAGTCCCTGAATCATCAAATACCTTTTACCGCATAATAGGAAACAAAATAGCTCAGTGATTAAAATAAATTAAAAAGTAAAAGAACGCACCCCAGCCTTGCCAGGAATAGTGCAATGCCACACCATCAAATTCACAGTGCCGTCTGGCAGAGTCTCTGGCTTCGCAACGAAACCCTAAATTACAGACAAAAAATAAAATCAATCGGCGACAAACTGAACAATTCCTCAAAAATTACCGAATCAGCATTGGATTAAAAAAAAGAAGAAGAAGAAGAAGGAAACCAACAAGAAATAGAGGGACAGTACGAACATGGGGATGGTTCTTACGCCATGCCTTTCGTTCCTCGGTAAGGCGTCCACGAGCAATACCCGACATGTCTCCCTCGTCGTTCCTCTCTCTGTAACTCTCTCACACACACTAGTTTCCGAGGAAGTCAGGCCAAGTCTGAGTCGCCTTTGATATCTTTGTTTAGTAGGAGAAGCGGAAACTGCCCTTCCACTGCCCAGTTCGATAAGAGTCGTCGCCTTTATCCGGCGCTTTGGAGAACGGACGGTCCTGATTTCTGCAAGAGAGGCACCGTGTTGTCCTCGCCTTGAGATTTAGATGAATAAATAATAATTGCGTGAAAAGTCAATGCATTTGCCTTTATTTATTTATTTATTATTTTCGTAAAGCTCGCGTGAGAATCACGCCTCCGTAGCCCAGACGCAGTCCCGTGACGTTACGAGAGGACCAACTTTTCTCAATGAGAGTGGCATTGTCGTTAATCTCATTCGCACTAAATTTAGGTAGTCCTGTGGGAAAACAATAATTAACAAACTCTGGAGAAAATTCATATTAATTAAAAATTATTTGTTATTAAAATTAAATAAATATTTATTAATTAAGGTTAATTTTTTATTAACAAATATTTACTTAAGTTTTAATAATAATTTATTTTCAATTAATAATAATTTATTCAAGCATTTTTTTATTTAAATTTTAATAACTAATTCTTAACTTACATAAATTTTTTTCTGCCTTCATTGCTATTTTTCCTATTATACAGTTGAGAGTGAATATTTATTTTAATTTTATTATTTATAAAATATTTCAATGATTATTATTTTTATTTGAATTATTTTATTTTTATTAAACATTAGAAAGCTTATTAAATACTAGAATATTTTTGTTTTTACATTTAATAGGAGTAAAATTAAAATTTATTTAATTTTTAATTAAAGATAATAAAATTTAAGATTTTTTATAATTTTAGGTAGAATCAAAGAAAATACATTCCAAGATTACTCTTCGGGTCAATATTGCCTTCTTGTGCGAATATGTTAAATCATGAAAATCGACAAGTAATTAGTTATCTTTGTTTAAGAAAAATTAGATAAATTGAGTCAACAAGGCATGTCAATGATGGTACCTTTCTTAGAGTTTGTTTAACCTAACAAAATTACATATAATGATCCAAAATATTTCAATTGTCTTCTCTAAAAAAATTTAATTGCCTCCTTTTTTTTAAATAAAAATTTTCACATGTCCCCTCAAAAGATCTCCCTTGTCCCTTGAAAAAAAAAAATTATTTAACTTAAATCTTAACTTTATGCTAAAATCTTAAATAAATAAAGAAAATAATATTTTATAAATAAATTTTTTAATTTTAAATCATTTTAAAAGTAATTAACATTTTTCTTTTGAATAAAAATTTTGCTTCCACTGTGTACTTTTTCTAGGTTTATCAGGCATCTTGTACTCATGAATTGCTCATAAATAAGATTCTCACGTTGAAAACAATATGTAATTTTATAATCTTATGAGTTATAGGTAAAATTTTATCAATTGAATTAACTTTTTTTAATCAAATTATCTCTTTTTTTATTAATAACTTATTTCGGTTTAGCCGTTATTTTTTTCTGTCGGTGAATTATTATAGTACTTCAAAGGTTTAAATGACTAAAGTCTAAAACCAATCAACCAAAGAACTAACTGTGTCCACAATTATTAATATATCATGCGATTATTTTTCCATTAGAAGGGGGAAAAAAACAAAGTTAATGGAGTTGGGTCATGACTCATCAAGATTACTATAGATTTCAAGACTTGTGTGGTTGAAGTAACATTTACAAAACTTTAGTTTTTATAAATTAGAGTTTGCAAACTGACTTAAAAAAAAATTTCAAATTGCTTCTAAATTCTAGTCTAACTTAGAATAGTATATAATATTGAAAAAAATCATCGCATCCAATTTTTGGCTCCTTCAACATTGGTTGGCTGATCCCAGCAAGCACATTTAACAGATTCAGGCAATAAGATTCCATCTCCACGTCCTTGGAGGGTACTTAAGAAAGTGATAGAAACATGTGCCAAATTTATCTTTGGCTATCTAAATACATATAATTAAACAATAAAGAAATGAGCCCACAGGAAGGAAAGAGACGTTGAAATCCATCAGCTTTCTTTGTCACTGGGCCCTTATTGGGGCGCACCATTGAGAACCAACTCGAACCGGTAAAGTAAGTGGGGGACCGCGGTGGCCCGAAAGTCTTAAATATTATTTTCTAAAAGTTGGAGCTTAACATAAAGAGCATTATTTGGTAAAAGATAACCTTTTAAATAAGGTTTAGATTTTTAAAAGGATTAATTTCACAACTATCAATTATAGTGATACTTTAAAAATACAAAACAAACTGGAGCTAGTAAACAGGCAAGTCAATTTTGTTAAATCTAATCCTTATGGATCAGTTCAAAGTTGGACCTGTGAACCTGTTTTTTTTTTATTAAAAATATTTGATTTTTAAAAATTTAATTTTTATATTATAATATTATATATTATTTTTTAAAATATAAATTATAATGTTTAAAAATTTAAAATAAGTAATTTAAATTTAATTTTAAAGTTAATAAATATTTTAGTTTTTGGTTAAGGCAAAAAAAAAAAGGGTTGCCCGACCCATTTTTAGGGTGCTTAAATAGTGCATCCATCAAGCTTCCCAGCTCTAAAATAAAGTATAAATTCAATTACCTTTTTCAATTTTTTTCAAAACAGTTGGTTTAAATTTTTAAGGAATTTAATTTGTACTCCTATGATCATCAATAAAAGGCAATTTTTGAAAATTTTTCATTCTTACTGTAAACTAAAGTTAAAGTAATTTATTTTTTTACCAATTTTATCCCTTATTTATTATAGGTTGAATTCTTGAAAAGCATTTTATTATGATTATTAATTGCAGAAGGAGCATAATAAATGTCAAGTGGCTTGTGAGAAGATATTCCCATAATTGTTTGCAAATAAGAAATTGTGATAACAAAATCAACTCCATAACTCACCATGTTTTTCTTTTTATCAGTAAAAAATGTTTTTTTAACTTCATTATTCACAAAATTTAAATAATATGATTTTTAATAATTTCATTATTATTTTTGTTTACAACTTTGCTTCTCATCCCCTTTCAACTTTATTTTTATTTCTTCACATTTAATTGCTAAATCATGTTTCATTCAACAAGTTTAAAAAATAGAAAGATAAACACAATCTTGAAAAAAATCTTTATTTTTGTCATTTTATAACACATGGAAATAATATCTTATCTGTTAGATTACTTTCACCGACTTTGTTATTTGCAAAAGGAAACCAACCAGATCTCCATAATTCTTTTGAGATGATGCACTAAAGTCAAAGATGTACTGAAGCTACGGTTCCTAAATCCATGCCGCCAATGTTTATCGGTGCAATTAATGGATAAGAACCGTCCACGTAATTTTTAAAGTGCGGGATAGAATCACGTGCGATTGTACAAAGTGCTTATACAGTTGTACTCTCACCATTCTTATGCATAAAATATTTTTTACAAATTTATTTTACTTCTAAATATGAGAGATATCGTAATATTTTTAAATAATTAAATAATTTTATTATTATTTAAAAAAAAAGAGATATTAATTAAGTCATTTACTCATTATTATTATAATATTAATTGATATTAATGTGAATAAAATTGAAAAAATTATGTTTTAATGTGATTTAAATTAAATAATAAATTTTTATTGATAAAAGTGATTTAGTTAAATACTCATCTGATTACTTTTATAAGTATTTTTTACCAAATTTATCAACATCAATGCCAAAAAAATAAGGCATAAAGTATGTAAAATTTTAAATATGTCTCTATATAATAAATTCAAAAAGTAATATGATGTTACTTATTCTCTCTCATTAAGAGTAATTTTAAAAATACTTTTTAAATATTATCTGAAAAATTGTACCATGATTTATAAATGAGATTAAATAAATTTTTAAAAATGTGATTTATAAATGAAATCGAAGAGAGTACACCTTATATATGGGGATAAGGGAAGTATTCCTATCAAATAACAATTTTTTACTATAAAGTTAAATTTAAAATACTGTACTATTTTTTTGGCAAATATAATTTGATTATAATTGATTTATAATTTCCAATTTATTAGAATTCCCTATTCTATTTAGATTGAATGGTCACTTTTGCAATTAATTATTATATATTAATTTGATATCTCAATGTTTTGTTTGGGTGTCTCTCAAATAAATGATTAGCAAGCATAATCTTGAAACGAATCATCAAGGTGACAAAAGAGTTAAAACTAGGAAAGAAATATCAAAAAATAGACGGTGTTGTGTTTAGGGCTAGAGTTTTGCTAAACAAAGCTCTAACATAGACAAATTCTAAAAACTGGATTAACTAAACTCTGATACCTAAAAAAAAAAGGTGTACTAAAGGAAAGAATATTCTAAAATGGCATAAAGAAAAAAAAAACAATAACTGAAAACATTGTTCACCGTGTTGTGTTTTGGGTTATACAGAACAAAAGGATATGTCCCAATAAATATCAAATCAATCAACCATAATTGCAATAAACTAAATTTTATGTCTGTGCATTTCACAGGAGTGTTAACTGCTAACCCACCATTTGGACGGGGGAAATGAAAAGGAGATAAATCTTAATGAGTTTTATTTTCTTTTTTAAAGAACAAATGAGGTTGAACATTTTAATACAGATTAAGTGTAAAATAACAAGGTAAGTAAAATTAATTAAAATTTTTAAACCACACCTCTCCTTCTTTTCTTAAAATTCAACTCGTTAAAATCTATCATTCCCTCCATCTATCCAATCAAACAAGGGATAAAATTAATATAAATTAAATATTAAATAAATATTTACTCTATAATTTTACAATAAACGATAGTACATATGATATATAAAATTAAATTATATAAGCAATCACAAATAAATAATTATAGGCATGGAAGTATAATAATTACTCATTCTATTAAAAAATGTAAGCATTTTTAACTTAATATTATTCTCCAATAAAATAAGTATTTATTTCTAAACTAACACCGTCTTTTTATATTTATTCTATTTAATAACATGTTTCACTTTAAAATAAACATAAAGTAATTTATTTATTAAAAGTATTTTTTAAAAAATATAATGATTACACCTTGAGATACTAAAAATTTCTTATATTTATTAATATTCAACCTTTCAAAAAATGCCTTACATTTTTAATGAAGGAAGTATAGTTTTATTCCATGAGCATTAATAAGTGTA